CTTTTTCGAATTTCTAAATAAACCATTCGCGAGCATAGAAGTGACTACTTTTTATCTAAGGCGACTCGACCCTGCGCTATCCTCTGCTTTATATTCCTACTACTCCTTTCGTCCTGACTTATCTGACTTCCTAGATACCTTAAATCAGTCACTTCTTCTAATTTTTCGTCTCCCATCTTTACATTCGCTCTTTCCCTACTTTTTCTTCCCTTTCATACCAGTATTTTTTTTACTTTTATTTATTTTCATACAATATTGTTTTGTCAATATCGCTTCCATTTTATTTAAAGTTATCTCTAACTCCTCCTTGCTAGATGCTAATACTGCTATATCATCTCCAAATAGAAGCATATTAATCTTTTTCCCCTCTGTATCTGTCCCTATAGTATACTGGCTTTAATGACGTTGAAAAGAACTATGTAGTCAAAAATAAAAATAATGAACATAAATACATTTATATTATTTTTGGGCAGGAGATTTTTCAAGTACGATCCTGATTTATTAATCTAAATTTTAGACGTACAATTGGACCGACACAAACTTATTAATATCATCATATTATTGGGTAACATTCCCGTTTCAAATAGCTGCTGGTATCGCATCGGAAAAATACGGATCCAAGTGGCTCTTAGCGATTGCTGCCTTTATTTCATCCACTTTTACAGCAGCTTTGCCTTTAATGGCGCAATTCGGCTCCTGGGGAGTTATGATATGTAGAATAGTACAAGGAGCCACTCAGGCGATGGTTTTTCCATCTGCGTTTAATCTTGTAGCCAAATGGGCGCCAGTACCAGAAAGAACGAGACTGTGCAGTATAATGTTTACTGGTAAGATTTGCAACATGAAAAGAACGATATATATATATTTTACCGGAAGTGTATGAAAACTAGGAATTATATACAATTCCTAGGAAATGTATACAATTCCAAGGCTATTTAGGAAATGCATAAAATTTTGTTTCAAAGATTGTTTAATACACTGATATTCTGAGAAATATATACATTTCCTAGGAATTGTATGAAATTCCGATATTGTACTAGGAAATGTATAAAACTAATGCTTTCTGTGAATATAATGAATAAAACACGTTAGTAAACTGAAAATCAGTGTTATCTGTGTTTAGTAGTCTAGTTTTCTAGTACGATCACCTGATGTATATGCATTGGTGACGTTATTGTATCGTTATTAGGTAGATTTATGACAGACTGGAGTTTCCTTAAGGATGTTTGGGAGGTACAATCGGAGACAAGAGTACATAAAATTAGAAATTCGTTATTAATTAGGTTTTGCAGCATAGCATGAGGTAAATAAATACTATCTATACTAAAAAAAAAGTATACGATTTGAGAGAAAATTTTGGAATTGACCAAAAACTTTGAATCAAATAAGAATAGTTGGATGAACTGGATTTTCGATGAAGTAATACAAAAAAGAATAACCAATTAAAAATAATGTAATCGGCAGAATCGCAGCTATTGAATATGCGCACCCTTAAGGATATTTGGGAGGTACAATAGGAGACAAGAGTAAATAAAATTAGAAATTCGTGATTAATTAGGTTTTGCAGCATAGCATGAGGTAAATAAATACTATCTATACTAAAAGAAAGTATACGGTTTGAGANTAGCGTATGTACAGGGTGGGTAAAAATAATATCTTAAAAAAATTTTGTGAAAAATTGTTATTACGAAAGTTATAAGATTATTTATAAAATTTACCCAACGATTTTTTCCAGGTTTAATTGATCGATACTGCTATTTATAGAAGGTATAGTAAGGAACCGATTAATTTTTTAAGTTTTGGTGAAACTCCTTTCACTCTCGCAACTCAGTCTATTAGGTATATCATTAATATTAATTTTATCGTGCTAACATATTTATAATAACATAGTTAGAAAACATAGCTAATAAAACAGTAGGTACTCTCACATTCTACCATGAAATTGACATTTTTACTGTCGCAATTATTTCCGCTTTATTCTGCAGTATAATTTTAAATCGCCAAAGTTTAGTTCGTGATTGAACTTGGTGCAGATAAAGTCTATATGTAGTACCACTTTAGTTACCGCGAAAAAAATCTTTTGGTTAGCCGCGCACCTTCAGCACACATAATATAATAATATGTAGATATTTAATCGGTCTGGTCTAGCTAATCATACTTTAAAATCTTATTTGTTCATTTTGTTTAAAGTGCTTAACGTTGACAGTATATTTTTATTTATACTCCTCGCTTTCGTACAATTTTACTGCGCGCACAGAGTCGGAGATTGTGAAGGTTTTTTTTTGTTATTAGACAGATCATCTCAGATTAAGGACGTGGAGGAAGCATGACATAAATACAAAGTTAAAAACTGCAATTTACTACAACTTCATCGATTTAAATTGAGTACGTATTTACGCGTGTGCTAAACATCATGAGTCCTAGAAAGTACACCGTTGAAGATGAGACAAAAAAAGAAGGTAAGTTAACTCTTGACTTATTTTTATTGAGTTATTATGTACTTCTCTCTTGGGGAATTTGAGGAATTTTAAATTTCGCGCAATTTTTAGGATGCTTCCTTGGAGTGCGACATTTGCAAATTGTCCTTATCTCTTGCATGGCCGGAATATGTTTTGGGAAAAATGTTAATTTTTCAGTTGCGATAGTTGCTATGACAAATACAAATGCAAACTCTGATATTCCGGTATGTACTATTTTTGTTGCTACTAAAATAATCAAAAATATCATCAGCTTGAAGACTGGACCAATTTTTTGTATTTCCCTAAAACTGGAACATTCCAAATCCCTACCTGTATACACGAACGCGGTAATCTGATGCAGATCTATCTCTCTGCTTTCTTCACTCTTATTACTGCTTCTAATATGTCCTACCATTCAATGTTTCCTAATTCCTACCGATTTTCTTGTTATCCTCCTTTGTAACATTTTCTAATACAGAACACTCTAAATAGCTCGAACTCTAACTCCAAAACACCCCACTAAGCGTCCGAAATACTTTTTGACAACTTCTAGACGCTTGTATATTAAAAATTGTAATCTAAAATTTTCTTAATTCTTTTAAAAAAAGAACTTATCTTGACCAGATCCAGTTCACCTAACTTGGGCAAAATTATCAAGGAACAAATGCAAATCATTAAAAGAACCAAGACATAAAACAGTAAATCTTATCCAAACTCTTCTAACTGTCTCGTTTTGGCGTTGGAATTTGCGCTATTTATAGTGTTCTGTATTGGAACCTATCAGGAAGAGCAGGATTTACAATGTTCTGTACAATATCGCCAATGTTATGCAGTCTTCTAAATTTTCTAATATAAAACATTAGCCGAAACAAGTCAATTCCATTTCCATCATTATCTAACCCAAAACCTTAGTGGGTAGCCCTAACCCTTAGGTTTTTTTCTATATTTTATAATACATTAAACTTTTAACCTCGTTTAGAAGTTTGCATTGCAAAATTTTAGTGGTTTGCGTTGTGCCTCGATAGATACATCAATCTTTGAACACCCTGTTCACCCCTTAAGGGGTTCAATTTTAAAAATCCTTTCGTAATGCTCGCCTACGTTTTTTGATCTACTTTCTAGTCTGTAACTACCACAAAACAAAAAAAAACATGACATTAACAGATACTCGACTTTTTCAGTCTCGAAATGTTGTATTTAAAGTGATTGAAATAGGAGAATGAATTTCTGTTAATTGAATTTCTAATTAGCATTTACTAGTAATTTGTGATCAGATAAACAAAATGTGCTTCTAACGAATGATTTAGCGTCTCTTTTAATCTTGTTGTTTGATCAGACATAGACGTGGGTTTATGTGGCTGCAGTTTTTGCAGCTCATTTCTACGTTACTACGAGAAGATAAAATTAATAAAACAGAGATAGGTCAATATCACAACTAAAGTTACCTATTGTGAGATAAGAAAGTCCAGCCGAAAGGAAACTTAGAAATGAAAATGTAGCTATTAATTTTGTATATTTAAATACCTTTAAATATTAATTTTAGGTTAGGTTATAAGTTTTTCGAGTGGCACTTACCTACTATCTGCCTAAACTAAATGTTTAGGTTTTTGAAATCAGCCTAGGAAGAATTTAATGTAGTTGTGATTGTTAAAATGCTTTTTATTTCTTGACGGTTTATTAGGTATTTTGCCAAATTGAATTAATTAACATTTAAATTTTTTTGTCAACAATATTTTTCCGTTATTCGATTCTAATTTTAGCCTGTAATTATTAATAGGCACTTAATTTACTGACAAAAGTTAATTATAAAAACATTGCGTTTCAAAATTAAGCAGGAACACCACTTTTTGTTGAACTTGAAATTTTAATGTAGTATTTATGTAAACTTCACTCATTACATAATCACATATAAAAATTACAGTATTGACACAATATG